CTTATACACCGAAAAATACGTTAGTTAAGATCCGTATGATCTGTCAGTTTAATCAATGTCTGGTGTTTCGGAGTATCTGAATATCATCTACAAGATCAAATTCTGGTTCTATAGCTATTCTATAAATAGCAGACAAAAGGCCAACATCTGGTAAAGGATTTATATTTAATTAATTTATTACTTAGTGTCTTTTTCTATTTGATTCACAAGTAAATATTTTAATTTAGTGGAAAGATGAGCTTGACATTTACTAACTTGATTTGGACATGCTTGACACTATTATAATCAGATTATGCATTGTGTTATGTTGAGTTAAATAAAATCCCGTGTTAGTTAATTTATTTATCGCTCCAGTAGCTATATCAACGTATTTGCGAATACCGTTGTCATAGTGGTAGGTTTAGTTGTTGATTAAATGTCGTACACCAAGCACACAATTCCGGAACAAATAAACCAATATGACTTATCTAACGGTTGTCACTGAGTAGAAAATTTAAGGGCATAGAATAATTTCTTTCTTATTCTAGAAAATTGTTTTCGTGTGGTTGGACTGCAGGTAGGCCTAATATACAGCATGGTTGTAAGTCACTACATGTATTTGGAAATGTATGTGTAGCGAACTGTGTAACATGAAAGCAAAATACTTTGCATAAATACATAACCGGTCACGGAGGGTGTATTTCACCGATTTCTCGAGATGGCAGCAGCAGGGGTGCTATTATAGTAACTGTTCAATGTTACTGTTCAATGTTGGTTCTGTGGCGATATTACTGAAACGTTACCTCAACATTGCGCCCGTGTTGATGGTGCATCATTTCCTACAGTATCCGTTCTTCCATATTTAACTTCGTGCTATGACTTGCAGTGCTAGAGACAGAGTGATAGTTATCTTATTTCTATATTCCAGCTCAGCTTGTTTTTGTGGCATCTTCACTAGTACCTCCACCAGAGGCCTTTGTTGCTAAATTTGCTTATGATAAGCGGAATTGTGTTTGTTTATTGTTTTTATTTTATTTTTAGAGTCACGAGTTGCGGGTTTCTTTGGTTTGGGGGGGGGGGCTTGTTTTATTCTGAGGTTGCTGATTTGAACTTTTTTGTAATAGCTGACTTCAACACATTAGCCTACACATTGTTACAATTTTAAAATCATCCTATACACACTCCTGTTTAATTCAAAAACACACTCACAATTGTGAACTTTCTGGCCCGCCCACTTGACATATTCTACATTCCAATTAAGAGGCGTAAGTCGCCATTGAGAGTGAGCCATAAAAGAGAAGACTCTAAAATCAATGCTGATTGTTTTTTTTTGGGGGGGGCTTCTCTCGGAAGGTAGCGCCACATGTTTTGAACGGCAATGCCGATTATTTTTCTGGGATTGGCAACACTGCCTATCATATCTTATGCATAATTAGTGAGTAAGTAACGAATCTTTTACGCCCCTTAAAAGCACATAAAGCCGGTGCTTAACTCCGGTTGTTCCTTGGGTACAAGTGGGTGAGAATGGTGACACATTCCCTTAAAAGGTGTGCCACTCCATAGCAGGTTAACATCAACTACCCGCTGGTACCCATTATACAACTGAGTAGGCTGAAGCAATTTGGAATAGTGTCTCGCTCAAGGACACAACAACCCTTTACAAGCAAGCCTTGAACTCTCAATCTTTCGACTACAAGCCCAAAACCTAACCACCAGACTTCAACATATATATATTCTCTCGCTACGGGCTCGGACAATTCGACCGAGTTCATGACCCCAAATTGACCTTTAGAGTTTCCATACAATAACTTGTAATATATTTTGTGTATCTTCACGAAATTCCGCAAGCTTTCAGTAAACACTAAAAGTCTTGTGTGGACACAAATTTAGAATTTTTATGAAGTATTTTTACTAAAAGTTGGCTTTTTGGAGTCAAAATGTTACCTGCTTCGAGTGCAAAGTGATTTTGATGTTAAGATTAAAAATACTTTTCTGAATCTGAAAATTGTACAATTTCATTTCGGCAATCTCTAAAACCTCCTAAATTTCAAGCTTTGTTTTAGTAAGATTTTATATTTTATTTATCCTAACTCTATACGAGGTCGGTCAATTTGACCGACTTCGTAACAACCATAAAAAATACGAAATAAGTCTCAATTACTATTTTTTCTTTCTAGAACGACTTCAAATTGTAACAGGAAACTACATTTGTTTATCCTCATTTGTTCAACATAGTATACACAAAATATATTGTATTATATTATTCCCTGTTTCGATTTTTTAAGGTATCCACTCTGGAACGGTAGTTGCCGGAGTTGTAGGACTCAAGATGCCGAGGTACTGTCTGTTTGGAGATACCGTAAATACAGCATCACGAATGGAAAGCACAAGTGAAGTAAGATTTTCTTTGTTGCATGTGCTCATTTTATTTAGTCACGTATACAAGTCCATCCGATCTCTTTCTTAACGATGAGCTATGGGAACTTACAATGCTAAAATCCGAGGTTCGATTCCCTACGGTTCACAGAGCGCAGATAGCTCATTATGTAGCTTTACGTTAAAACAAACAAACAGTCTGGTCTATTAATTTGTATTACAATTCCTAGGCTCTTTAACTCCTATTACACTTTCAACGCAAATGTGTTATTAATTTTGTCGATTAATAACCCTTTTTTAATGTCCTTTACAACTTTTGATACATTCATTGTTATTGTTAGTTTGAGTATATATTTCTGATAAAACGATATTATATTTTCTATCGATAAATATGCACGTTTTGCCTCATAAACTAATGCAGTATTTCTGTTTTTCACAGGCATTAAAAATTCATGTTAGTGAACGAACCAAGGACCTACTTAACGAAAATGAGTGGCATCTGTCAGAGCGAGGAACAATTTTGATCAAAGTAGGTTTTTTTATTTTTGCCACAGTTGAATACCAGACATAATTTACAGTTTTTAAGCCTAAACAAAATATACTTAATTTAGGTACTTAAAAACAGGCGAAACACTACGAACTTGAATGTTTTTCAATAGTAAATATAATTTAATTTTTTAACACCTCTGAATTTTATTGAATATCTCACACTCTCAATTCATTCCAACTACTATTAATACAAGTCCTTAGTTATAATTCATCTACTGTTGTAACTGATTTAAAAGGGTTGAAAGAGGTACATCTCACTAGTTCGAAATTAATAACTTACTTCAAGAAACACGTTTTTTTATTATTATTATTGATAACAAAAGTCGTTTTAAAATGTATTTAACTGATAAATTACGTGTAACATAATGAATTAATAATACTGACTTCTTACACCTATTCAGTGAAAATCTGGCCTATCTGATTTATGTTATTCAAAACATTAAATTTTATTAGAAAAGAAAATTATCTTCATTATAACGTCAATAATTTAAACTATGAGCATGCTGTCAAATTCCGAACGACTGAACTCACAGAAATTAGTATACCATCCCAATAATAATTACATTACAAATTATTTAATTTCTGCAGCACATATTGGTGTATAGAAGACATTTTAACACTAGAAATAAACGACCTTATAACACCAGATTGTTTTTTTTCTTCTTTAATTTGACACTCAGCTTTGCGGTTTACAGCTTCTCCAGGGGAGTTCGACTAAAACACGAACCGTAACTGTGTGCTGTCAGTTAAGGTTTGTGTTTCGATGGAACGCTCCTGTACAATTTGGTGTTCTACGCTCATTTATTTCTAGTATTTATTACATTATACTTGTTGACAAATGCTCTCAGATATACGTTCAACAATGTTGTAATGGTTAAACATTGTCCGATACGGGAGTTACGTTCATGCATTGTTTATTTTATTAATTTGAATCCTAGGTTAATCCCTTAGTGCTATTTCTATCCCCGTGACGGGCAGCAAGACCAGCTATTATTACTATTCGTATTAATAGTAACTTACATGCTGTACTTGATTAACGTCCGGACTCGGTCGGTGTATGAGCAAGATATCTTTTATACGGAAGCTATGCTCGCGATTGTCCAATGCTAAGATCATTTTAAATGGGCGACTTTGTCACGCTCACCTAGGCAGGGCTTGAGTTGTTAAAGTAATCAAGTGGAGTTTAGTTTCACAGCCCCTATCCGGGGGCTCTTATTTCGATTATTTGATGACGTCATATAGAAAAGTAAGTCAAATGTAGAAGAATTACATGTTACAAAGTAAGCCTACAATGAAGTAAGCCTCCATAAACGATTTGAATTGGTAAGATTGTGATAACTTATTGTAAAATTTTCGTATGTCCTTGGACATTCAACAACAGGATCGTTTTCACAAAAGTTTCTTACAACAGGAACGGCGCTCCGGTTCGCTCCCCCTCAACTCAAGCCCTGCATCTAAGGCTTGTTGAAGTATACGAAGTCTAGACGCTGATAAAACCTTGCGGAAACCAGGGACTAGTAGGTTTAAAAACACATATCAGCTGTATTTAAGAGTAAATTTCTTAACTGACTTTTAATAATTAAATAATATTTACCCATTAAAGGTAAGGTAATAGAATATGTTCATTTTTTTTTCCATTTTTATCCAAACTAGTAATACTCTTTCCTTTGGCAGATCTGGATATAGTGATATTATCATTTTTACTTAAATCATTCAAAGCTATTAATTCCTCTGATGTTAAATTTAGAAATATTTTACCTTTATAATTACAATTATTAAAAAAATGCCAAAGATATTCCACTAATCTGAGTTTTAACATTGCTAAACGATTTACCAAATCTATTTGTATGACAGTAATTACAAAAGCAGCTTAAACTGTGCAAAATAATCTTCATTTCTAAACTTGTCCCCCGATGGGACAGCGGTGAGTCTTCTGGATTTACAATGCTAAAATAAAGGGTTAGATTCCCTTCGGTGGACACAGCAGATAGTCCGATGTGACTTTGCTATAAAAAACACACTTCTAAACTTATTATGAAAAAAATATATATCCAGAGAAAACTCTGAGTGATTAAAAATAGCATCATCAGATTATTCCATGAAGAAATTTCTACCTAACTGGTAACTTAAATGGGTCAACTTAACCAACCGTGTTTTCTGGAATTGTATAAAGATTTTGCTGTTTGGGTTTTTAAATAATGTTTGAGTTGTAAAAAATCTAAAGAACCTTCTTGGTTCACTACAATTAAATTAGTTCTATAGATGGTTGGGTTCAAAATTCAAATACATAATTTTTATATAATTTCGAAATTCAGTTTTATGACTAAGTCTGCAATAATAGAACTGAAGGCCAAATATTTTCAGACGTTTCCATTCGTTCAAAAAATATATATACAATTTAGTTTTGAATATCACCAGAGTAAATTTTTCACTGTTTTTGAATTGAGTTAGAATAGATTTATCATGGCGTTGTATAATAATATTAGCAATCGACCTATTTTTAGCAAATTTCAAATGTAATATAAATTATAACCACATTATGTACTTAGATTTCCGTTAGTGTTAAAAGCAATTACAAAATAATAACATATATCACACGCAAGCCATCCCTTTATAAGTCTTCCCACCCTCATACAAAGTTTTAATTTAGACATAGAATTTCGAGCAGAAAGGCAGGGTCGCCAAATTTTACCACCCCGATCTGCTAAAAAATTAAAAAGCAAATTGCTGTATTGGCCTGATTATAAGGCGATGTTTTTTATTAATAATTAGGCTGTAAAATCCATAGTCACCTTATTATCACGGCCGACCACAGGCTCCTTCCCCTATTCTAGCCTGTTGCATCCCTAAATGTCCAGATAGCATCCGTCTACACATGCGCACCAGATGTTCGCTCAAGGTCATTGCTAATTCTTGCAACTAATCTACCTGCAGACTGTTCAGTTATAGTATTGATTTTGCAGACCTAAAAAGAACGTTATGACACTCAATATTTTTCTTTCACATGGTTTCTGAAAATAGGGGTCGCCTTATATTCGAGATCGCCCTATAGTCGGGCCAATACAGTAGAATCAAAAATAGAAATAAACTCTGTGACTTAATTTATAATTAATGACTTTGATTAATGAACCAGATGCATCATAATGACCATATAAGACGAACTTTGAAACAACACCATATACGTATACCATACACAATTAAAATAAAAGTACCTATAGATTAGATCTAGAAGACAAATAATGAAGTAAATACCAACTAACATAAATATAAATCCTCATCACTAACGAAAACCCTTACTTCGTATGCACACACACACAAAACCCTCAAAATATGAACCTAAACCTCCATGGCCATTTGAAATGCCACAGTTTTCAGACTCCACCTAGTCTATCTTAAGGTGAATTAGATCTGCCGTCAATGTATCAAATACATTATAAAAAAGGAATACGGTTTATAGTAATAAGAGTAACTTAAACGGGGAGCTGACTTTGCTAACTTTCAGCCACAGTCTGTGCATGACTCTTTCGTATATGGAGGCTCTGTTCGTCATTGGCGCTTGCTAACTGAGATTTTATAATGATTAATTTGAATGGACGTCTTAGATCTAATACTTATAAAGCTTTGCGTAAAGAATTCGATAACGCCAAAAAATTTCTATACAGAAATGGTTTCCTCATTTGTGTTATTGACAGAATAATTCGTAATTATCTAAATAAGAGAAATTTTAGTAAACCATCCATATACGAGATTCTGAAATATCTAGCTGTTATTACCTTGTCATAAATGGATAAACATTCTTTGATTATTCAAAATCAGCTAAGAAATTTAATTTTCAAGGTATATCCTCAAACACAACCGTTTTATTTATTTAAGAACCGCATTCCTGCATAAAATTTATTAAATATAGATTTAAAATTTGCGTGTTCCTTCTTTCCTCAAGGCTGTATCGGGTCTCCTAAAACAAAATTATTAACTCGTGCCGAAGAACATTAAAGTTTGATATCCACGATTAGATGTAGTATACTTGAACAGGCCCGAGATGAGTGTGGCTTAGCTGTTCCTTAAAATTATTTTAAGATCTTAGCCTAGATCAATGATGAACACAGCTTCATATAAACGATAGATTGCTCATACAGATACCTAGGCCGGAAGTTAGCTCAGCATTATATATAAACTGTATTCGTCTTTTTATAATGTACTACTTCAATCCTTATACTGTATAATAAGTCAATAAGTTGTTTTACTATTTCTATTATTATACTATGTAAAAAGACAACAACTATTGTTACTTTTTCTATCCTTAAACTATGCAACAATACAATAAGCTATTGTTGCTATTTCTCTCTTTTTACTTTGTTACAAGACAGTTAACTATTGTCACTGTTTCAATTCTGATACCATGCAACAAGACAATAAGCTATTGTTGATATTTTTATCCTTATACTATTTAACAGGACAATAAGCTATTTTTGCTATTTCTATACTGATACCATGTAACAATACAATAAACTAGTGTTACTCGAACCATATTTAATCTTCACAGTAACAGACATCGCGGCCTCTATGAGAAAAAAAAAGGATTTTCACAAAAGTATGTCCCATGATATAACAAGTCAGTTATTTTGGGTAATTTGCGACTTGAAGATGACAGTACCATTGATTGTTTAATCAATCTGCTTCTCCCTTTTGACATTTCTGTAAGATTACTTATGAAAGTTTCATTTGCATATTTTGATAAAACAAGTATGAATACTTGCATGATTCATAGCTGTTAAACATTTTTAATCTCATATTTCTTAAATGTAATTGTTCTTCTTTACTTAACTCATATAAGATTAAAATAAGAATATATCAACCATGGCTTCTTTGAGAGTCAGCAACGACCAGCTACCTTTTGTGATTAAAAAAATCTGATTTGCAGTACTTTCTCTACACAGTATATGTCTAGAATCTTAGAAGACATTTAAGCTAATCTATATACTACTAAAACTCTGAGATTGTTTGTTTTCTTGTCTGTAATTAAATACAGCAAAAACGGCGCACAATAGCGCCATATTTGTAATGAGATGAGGATAGAAACAGAATAAAACAAGTTTCGTTAAAATCGGGCCACGGGTTACCGAGTTATCTCCGTTTTTCGGGTCACTTTTCGTACATTCCATTATTATAAAACTTCGTTTTCCACGTGATGAATCACTTTAAAATATCTTCTATAAATAACAATACAACAGAATTTAAATGATGAGATGAAAATGTGTTATAACAGGTGCTTAGAAAGAACAACAATAAAATGGACCTACAATATTGTTGATTATTTGCAAATAGTAACTATGGCGACGAGGTAATAAGATAAAAATCAAATCGAGAATAACAACAAAATTTTATAAACGAAAACATCTCTCCGAGCATTGGCTATTATATTATTTCCCTGTCAATGTTTTCATCTTCGTTAAAAGGCGTAAGATGACAAAAACAAGATCTTGAAAAATCTATCTATATACTACTAAAACTCTGAAATTGTTTGTTTGTTTGTTTGCTTATTTCCTCGGTCAAAAAATCATTCACACTACCGTTCGCGCTCTTTACGAAACTTCATCGGGCCACGGGTTACCGAGTTAGCGCCGGTTTCGGGTCACTTCTATTAAAATTTATAGCATGAGTAATTTTACATCACACTACCGTTCGCGTTCTTTACGAAACTTCTTCGATCAAATCTATTTCCCTGTCAATGTTCACATCTTCATTAAAATTCGTAAGATAACAAAAACAAGATCTTGAAGGATTTCTCAATAATGTGCCTTGGTTATGGTAAGTAATTCGAAGAAAAAATAAAGTGTTACTGTTTCTTATTTGTAGAAGGTTTGAGAGGAAAGACCACAACATAATGAACTAATTCATCACAATACTTGAAAACTCTGACTTAACTTTTTTTGAAAAATGAAATGGTCTTTTCTTTTACTCCTAATCAACAATCAAATATCTTTTCTTGAATTATGAATAACATGAATGGATTGAAATATTTAATTAAATTATCTCAAAATAAACCTTCTTTTCGGTGCAAGATTGAAATTAGCTTGAATTCTTCATAACCTCTGAATAGTGGGTGATCCAACGGGTTACGGGTTGTCTAGTATGCTATAAAATGAATGTATAATTGCTATCGGGTTTACTTCTGACGATCAAATCCGTTTTGTGCTGTAAGATACAATTTATTCAATTTACTGTTGTAACGTATTCTACCACTTGGTGGGTTCCTTTGGATTATTTGGTAAAAATAATACCAAGTCCAGCCGTGTAAGGATAACGAATTAGTTTATTTCTTCTATAACGTTTCTACAGGCTATGGTCAATTGAACTTTGTAGGCCTAAGTTCACAAACAACATTGCAACAGAAATTCCGAGACTAACGATATCACTGGCGTAAGTATACCCCCGCAATCGATGGGGCGGCAAGCCAAAAGGGGTCCGAATCAGCCAGAATCGGGACTACAATTATATCAAAATAAATGTAGGGGACCCAAATACTACTTATTCGGGGAGGGTACATCTTAGTTACGCCACTTAACGATACATATGCCTAATTTACAAAAAAAAAATTACAAATTTCCTTGCTAATCGATCTGAACTGAATCCCTTGTTGATTACTCGATAGCTTCTCATTAACTACCCATTCACTCACTGCTTCACTTTACTCATATTTTACCATACTCGTCTTCCACTTTACTCCAAGTTATAAAATTTTGCGCCTTCCAGCAAACATTTAAATTAAAACACTGAAAATAAAGCTTACGACAGTACAATTAGGAAAAGCTGATGCAGTTTTAGATCACCTAGTGCTCTGTTTCAGAATCTGAGACAGCATAAGTTGATACCATACAATTTGATTATTATCGAACATGCATTTATCAACATGAGTGTTTGATTTTGATGTAAAAAAAATGTATTTTGTTTGATAAGTGAATAATTCTACTTGATCAGGGTAAAGGGGAAATGAAAACGTATTGGCTCTATGGACGAAAAGGGAAAAAAAGGATAAGAAGCAGCGAAATACAAAATCTCAAAGAGGAACTTCAAGTTTTGTCAAACCCAGAGCATGATAGCAGTACAAGCGGGTCGTTATGTTCGCCATTTGCAATAGAGGCAATGGGTAATTTCTTTTCGAATGATGATTTCACTTCTAATTGTTTCACTCCTAATCAGGACGTAGAAACTTATGAATCACCAGCATCTTTACAGTCTGTGACGTCATTTAGTTTTAATTATAACAAGTTCGGACAAGATCCTCCAATCGTTTCGCAGAAGTCAACTTTTTCGTCCGTTAGCACTCAGACTAGTCCTTTTCGATCCAGCCAGCAACGCCGAAAGAAGATTTGGCAAGCATGTGGACTTCTTCAAAGTAAAACAGCTTGGGAGAACGACATTTTTTACCCACTGCTAAATAATGTTGGAGAAAAAAGAAACGGATGTTGCCGTTGCTCTCACGACAAGCCTCGAAACGCTAATTCTGACTTGAATCTCTTAAGTGTAAGTCATAGTAACCAGCAAATTTCCTTCTGCACTCGTACTGTTATAGTCCAAGAAAGAAGTTCTAAAGGAGAATTATCAGAGACGAAAAATACTTGTTGTTGTTTTAGTTCTTGGACTAAAAGAAGAAAAGCAAGAAGATGTCGCACTTGCTTCTTTCTTTGACAGCCTTCTCTCTGATTCTGTTACTCATTCTAATATTGGTCTATCAAAGACAATCACTTTTGTGTTGTTACGGTGAACTGACGTAGCAAGTTAGGCTAACTTTTAGGCCTACTCGTTCCAAAGTGTTATATATACATATTTGTACAATGGAATGTGGTTTTATTTCGGAATTAGAACGCCATGTTTTAATTACCAGCCTATTTCATGAATAAATCCTTGTGTGTGTGTATAATAAAGGCAGAAATTTATATAACTTCACCATTTTAAAGTAAATTTTCATAATACTAATACTTGAAAAATCACATATTTTTCAATCAAATAGAAGTAATTTATATGAATTCTGTGACGTACGTATTACTATAAGCCAGACATCTTGTAAAGATATATATATATATATGTTGTAAAGTTCAATATTTTTAACATGGATTGAAATCGTATTTATTACAGTGAATGTCTTCCTGCAAATCAATATTAGCTTTATTCACAGCATCTAAAAGTTTATCTTATAAATGTGTCATACATCCATCGATACAATAGGCTAAACAACAATATATTAAGCACATTTACTTCTAATTAGCTTATGTGACTTTCTAAAAGACATCTCACAAAACGTCAAACCGGAATTACACCTGGTGTAATTGTTACATAACACATATGGTTACGTCTTTACTATAAAATATTTAAAGAGACAACTATTCGTTGAGACCATAAATGAAGATGAAATATTTACAGTATTGTACAGAAATCAAGTACCAAGGGAAAAAATTGAGAATTGGTTAAAATTTTTCATAACTGTTTTTGTCAAAGTGTATTACATCTATAAGTAGTTGTATTAATCGAAGGCTAATATGTGATGTTTAAAACTGTATATATATTTATAATAATCAATAAAAATTAACATGTCTGTCAATTGTTGCATAAAAGTGAATCATATCGAACGTGTTCTTAAGTCTAAATCAGTGTTAATCCTCAAAAACTAGAGTTAATATTATCAAATTGTGCTACATCATAAAAGTTGAAGTTTATGGTTTAAATGCTTTATATATATGTGTGTTTAAAGTGTGTCCTTGTATCTGTTATTTAATGATTGAAAAGTTATTTTCAATATATATTACATGGATTAAGCGAAATAGTAAAACTATAAATGTGGCCTAATAATATTACTTGTAACGTATATGTGTTATTTCACGTATTTCATATGATTCAGAGATTGAGAACGTTATATTAAAACAATTTTGGAGCATCACCATGACGTTATAGTCCATGTTGCCATATCTGATCATACTCTATCTGACGACAGTGCTTCTTGACAACAGCCTAACAGTGAAGTATCCATTGCAAAACGCTCTGTTGTAAGGCTGTCATGCCCAAAGCACATCACTCCTCCCTACTTGTTTTTCATAATCCATCTAGTATAGAAGGACGACGGTTACCCAGCGCTCATTTTAACAGTTCAATTGCACAGAAATCCATAGGTGAAGTATTCGGCGACTTGACTGATATGTCTTCTTGTGGAATAGCATGGACATTTGTTTTTTTCTTCAGCTGCATGATATGCGTAGGTTGAAAGAATATTTCGTGGAAGCAGCTTGTGTGCACGTGACTTGTATGGTGACCTTCTGATTGTTTTGTGTACTGATGTTTGGGACACGAGAACGGCTTTTGCTACTGATTCTCATTTGTTACAAGACGCAACACTCTGCTTACCATGGCTGGAGTACGACTTGTTGCAGGTCTCTTTCAGGATGGTCCTGCTACTCCAAGTTGATCCACATTTATTTGCTTTCAAATGCCATCAAATACAAGGAATATCCTCGTCTTACAAAACCTAAATCCCCGATCTGAACAAATCTTTATAATCTGTATTAATATTTCGCGCTAGAAAGGGCTGTTACATACCTTTCTCAAAAGCGACCAATGATTGGAAACATCACAACGTCAAACAATGTCAGTATGTAGTTCTGATACATGCCATTCCATTGCAGTTTTATATCTTTATATTGGCCGTATCTATTATGTTATATGATGATTTTCATTCTTAAAATAATTTCAATATAACATACTCAACAATCTTTATATCTATATACTAAATCCAAAGCAATTTTTGTGTGGATATTTTAATGCTTGTTTAGACCATAGTACATTGTGATCTTATTATTATAACACACATTAACTTTAGGTTATCTTTTATATATGGCACTTATGAGAAAAATTGAGCATCACGGTTTGTATGAAAGTGCTTGAAAAACAGTTCACGTACCTTACATGACTGGCTGCTATATTAGAACTTATAATACATTAACAGCGTATCTTTTAACAGTACAATAATCATGTGAGGGGACAGGTGATTGTCTGAGCCTTATATACACAGAGATGCAGACACGTCACGGTTAATATTCGAAACAATTGGCAAGAGCAAGGACCTCGCCGATTTTCAAAGGGAACTGATCGTTGGCGTGCTTTTATCTCTAGTGTCATTACAAAAAACCGTTTTTCTTGATCAGTTGTTAAAAATCGTTTGTGATAAGTGGGTGTCAGCAGAGGCAAGCGAAAGAGAACAATGTGACCACCAACCGTTGATGAATAATTGAACATTAGAATTCGGCCATCTTCAACTGTTCCATGTAAAAGACATTACATCAACTATACTAGTCCGAAAATCATTTATCTCAATAAGTGATGTCTAATGAGTCGTGTTATAACTTTATCTGTCCTGGCAACACAGAAAACCACAGGAACATTGGCCTTTGCTTGTGTTGTTCCAACACTGTAAATTTGATGGAGGTGCTGCCATGGTGTGGGGGAATGTTCCCCTAGCAGGGATCAGATCCTTTGATTCCTCTAGCAATCATATCCTTCACATGGCGCTATATTTTTGTTCTGGTGAAATACTACAGAGTTTTAAAATTATCTATTGATATATTTAAAGTGTATGCTTGTGTCTTGTATTTTATGTAATGAATAAAAACTTGATTTTAAATGTAAGATATTTTATAACATTAATATAACAATACTGTCTTAGAGATTTAATCTTATTCATTGTCTAGCATAAGACAATAGCTATCTTCGGTTTGCAATTAAACGTCACATTCATCACCGTAATTCTCTGCCAACATAGAGTATGTGAACAGATTACAGACCACATCCTGTCTGCCAACATAGAGTATGTGAACAGATTACATATCACATTCTGAGATGTAATAAAATATGACGCTTTACGGTTTCTTGTTATACGAGATCGAGGGTCTTCCCAGTGGTGTGTCTTCGGAGTTACAACGCTAGAAACCGTGTTTATATGACCGTGGAGGCCAGAGCACAGATAGCCCATTGTGTAGCTTTGTGCTTAACTTCAAAACAAACGCATTGATTTTTATGTCACAACAAAAACTGCTCTAAGAATCTTTTTTTCAATAGCTAATTAAACAAATATACAAACTTTAATTTATTCGTGCTAATTAAACATTACAAATACAATTGTTTACTGCCAACCAACCGGTGGTTCAGCGATAAGTATAAGAGCTTATCACATTAAAAATCGGGTTTGATAGCCGCACTGGGCACAGCTCAGATAGCCCATTTTATTAAACATCTGGATGCTCTTCCTCATCAGAAAATTATGCTGTCAATGAAGACAAATATTGAAATAAAAACCACAAGTTAAAAAGATTGTTATTTGTCGTTCTGAATGTGTGTGTGTTTTTTTTTCTTATAGCAAAGCCACTTCGGATTATCTGCTGTGTCCACTGAGGGGAATCGAACCCTTGATTTTACCGTGTTGCCATCTGATCATTCTTGTGCTGGTACAACTTTTAATCTGTAATTTAAGTTTTCACAGTATCCTTAAACCAAAGGGTATATCTAAATAATGATTTTTCTTTTTTGCTTTCGTAATGCAAGGAATACATAAAATAAATCTTTCAAGAGCAAATTAAAGGTCAAATCAATGGGCATTTCGTACAGTCTGTACGTACTTTGGTTAAATTCAGACTTTGTTGTTAAACAACAATTAAAATTAATTCCTGGTAATTTAATAAATGCAAAGCAGTTTTTATGCGGAATCATATATAGTCTTCTCAGTGAAAAACATCGCGCCCTCTATGAGAAAAAAATGTGACTTGAAGGTGACAATACCATTGAGTGTTTTTAATCAAAATGTTCATCACTTTTGAGATTTCTGTATTTTTTTTGTACAAATTTTATTTGGATATTTTGGTAAAAAAAGTTTAAATACTTGTACGATTCATGGCTGTAAAACATTTTTTTAATCTCACATTGTTTAAAGATATTTTGCTTCTTTACTAAACTCACATAAGCTGGAAATAAGAATATATCAAACATGGCTCCTTTGATAGTCAGCAAAGACCAAATACAATTTAGTGATTTAAGTTCCTTATTTGCAGTTTTTTTTCTATACTGTATATCTATAGACATCTAAAAATAAATTAAGCTGCTATTCTAAAAAATTAACATATGAGTGCTTTCAGTTTTACTTCGGAAGGTCGAAATGTTGTAGCAGTGTAAAATACGTTTTATCTAACTTCTGTTGTAATGTATTTTAAGTTGTTAGAAAAACAATGGCAAATTACGACTCGTTCTGTAAAATGATAAACATTTAATTCTCTGGTGCCACGTTTAGTTCTGTAAAATATTAAATATTTAATTCTCTGGTGCCACGTTTAGTTCTGTAAAATATTAAACATTTAATTCTTTGGTGCCACGTTTACTTTTGTATTCACATGACGATTAACATCTGTGATTAATTTCATAAATATTAAACAGTTTGCTAATAAGCTCATTAAAAATCATTTAAATAATTTACTTTGTTCAGCAACATTGTCGTCCTAGTTATTCTCGAAATAATTAAAACTGCCAGTGTGTGATCGCGTTTTAATCTTTGGTTTTAAATAATAATTTAAAATATGTCGTTGTTATAACCCCGTGTGATAGTATGCTTCATTAATTTCTTTGTGTGTATGTGTAACGAGCTAAAATCCGGGTTTCGATACCCGTGGTGGGCAAAGCACATATAGCCCATTGTGTAGCGTTGTGCTTAATTACAAACAAACAAGCGTCTGACCCATTGATGGTTCTGAACAACGACATCTTACCCACTAGTAAGTTAGTCGACAGACAATGTGTTAGATATATCCTTCTTTACTGGCTCATTACAGGTTTCGTTGTATTTTAGTGCCGATGAGACCTTTCCCATATTTCCAAACCTATCAGACCATCTAGTGAGGTTACAATACATATAAAGTCTTGGTTGAAACCTGTTGACATTAGTCGTTTAGAAGTCATCACGTCTAAACCAGCGAACCTTGATCTGATAGTTAGTAACAGCTCTTTGTAGTTCAACTCAGAAATTACACATTGCAGACGGGTTATAATTTATGTTTCTATTCTTTATTGTTTTGAAGACTTATTAGTGAAGAATTATTGAAGACACACATTGAATATGAGAATAATTTCACTGAAACAGTGTAGCGTTATAGTAAATTGAGCTTTCAGAGACATAATTATTCTGTAACAGAAACCTATTTCTGAAGGCCCGTCAGGACCAGGTGGGTAAGGTACTCGGCTCGCAATCTGTGGGTTGCGAGTTCGAATCCCGCACACCGTGTAACAGAAAGGTATTTCTTCTTCGTTGAAGAGAAGGCTAGTTGGCAGATAGGATCGCGTGGGAGGGATAATATTCATTAATCCTTCTTTTCTGAAGGCCCGGCAGGACCAGGTGGGTAGGGTGCTCGGCTAGCAATCTGTGGGTCGCGAGTTCGAATCCCGCACACCGTGTAACAGAAAGGTATTTCTTCTTCGTTGAAGAGAAGGCTAGTTGGCAGACAGGATCGCGTGGGATGGATAATATTCATTAATCCTTCTTTTATTTTCTGAAGGCCCGGCATGGCAATCTGTGGTTCGAATCCCCGTCACACCATGGGGGCGTTATAATGTGACCGTCAATCTCACTATTCGTTGGCATTGGGTGGTGATGACTAGCTGCCTTCCCACTGCTAAATTAGGGACGGCTAGCGTAGATATCCCTCGTGTAGCATAACAGACAAACAAATCTTTCTTCTGAGAGTATTGGTTTCAATATCTGTGAACTCCTTTAAAGGAAGTAGTTAAAAAAATTGCTTTTTTTCAACATTAAGAATGTAGGTAATAAAAACTTTGTCTCTTGTAGTACCTGAAGTCTAAGAAATTATATAATTCGTCCCTTTCAACATTAAGAATGTAAGTACTAAACACTTTGTCTCTTGTAGTACCTCTTGTAGTCTAAGAAATTATATAATTCGTCCCTTTCAACATTAAGAATGTAGGTAATAAAAACTTTGTCTCTTGTAGTACCTGAAGTCTAACAAATTATATAATTCGTCCCTTTCAACATTAAGAATGTAAGTAATAAAAACTTTGTCTCTTGTAGTACCTGAAGTCTAACAAATTATATAATTCGTCCCTTTCAACATTAAGAATGTAAGTAATAAAAACTTTGTCTCTTGTAGTACCTGAAGTCTAAGAAATTATATAACTCGTCCCTTTTAACATTAAGAATGTAAGTGATAAAAACTTTGTCTCTTGAAGTACCTGAAGTCTAACAAATTATATAATTCGTCCCTTTTAACATTAAGAATGTAAGTAATAAAAACTTTGTCTCCTGTAGTACCTGGGGCAAAAATGAGTGTGGGTTTTTTTTTATTATAGCAAAGCCACATCAGGCTATCTGCTGTGTCCACCTATAGGAATCGAACCCCTGATTTCAGCGTTGTAATTCCGTAGACTGTCCCAGCGGAGGAGAAAAGTAACTGAAAATTATCTTTTGTGATGAAGAGAAACATAGATTATAACCCGTCTGCAATGTGTAATTTCAGAGTTGAACTACAAAACTACTTCCAGAAATATAACGACAAAAGTCTGGATTAAAATCATAAATAATATTCAACGTTAAAACTGGTGCACAATTAAAAATATTTTATTTAGGTTTATCTATAGATAGGCCTAAATAAAATGTTTTAAATTGTGTACCAGTTGTAACGTTGAATATTATTTATGATTTTTAACTTTATACACAAGGGCCAAAATACAATAAAAGTCTGGATGTTTATGATAAATTCTCTACACGTACGTCTCAAGCACTTGCCACTAGTGAGTGGAAGTGTTTGTTATATGAATTGTTAGAGCGATGTGGTTCTTTGCAAACAGAGATGCTCACATGAGATGACTTGTTCGGTCATGCCAATAAAACAAACAATACAAGCTTGTGCTTCTGCTCTTCCTGGAAACAAGTATTACAAAAAAAAATGTCTCGTCAACTGGAACTTATTGGCCATAGATATATTATCAAAACCATTTCTCTACAAAAGTATTATAACAAACAACTGAGATTATTTGCAATTATTTACAATCTAGATGTTGAAAGGGACGAATTATATAATTTCTTAGACTCCTAGTACCACAGCGATATGTCTACGGACTTACAACGCTAGAAACCGGGTTTCGATACTCGTGGTGGGCAGCGCACGGATAGCCCTTTGTGTAGCTTTGTGCTTAACTACAAACAAACAAACAGTCAGTTTTCAGTTTTGTCTCATCCAGTGCGATACATTATGATGAAAATCTGAATCTCATTCGGAAATCTTTATTATCAGGATTTGTGTACTAAAATGGAGTTTTGATCATTTCAAATATTTACAATATTTTCTTTCAAATGTTACTTTTCAAAAATATAAGTTTTTCTAGTTTGTGGTTTACATATCGGAGTGGCCCGGCATGGCCAGGTGGTTAGGGCGCTCGACTCGCAATCTGTGGGTCGCTAGTTCGAATCCCTTTCAGGCGTTATAAAGTAACGGTCAATCCCACTATTCGTTGGTAAAAGAGTAGCCCAAGAGTTGGTGGTGGGTGGTGATGACTAGCTGCCTTCCCTCTCTAGTCTTACACTGCTAAATTAGGGACAGCTAGCGCAGATAGCCCTTGTGTAGCTTTGCGCGAAATTCAAAACAAACAAACAAACATACATATCGGAGAAGTTAAATATCCGCTGTCAAGAACAAATTGTTCTTTATCAAAACTTTCAACTCATTATCTTACCCGTTTTAACATTATAGAACTATTAAAATTCTTAATCGTTTATATAAGTTTATGCTATTGGTTTATTTTACATTAATTTTGGTTATACCTCCATATATATGACGAAACGTGTCTTCTTTATTTATTATTCTAATATATTTATATGCTGTAATGTATGGAAACCGAGGCAAAATTGTCTTTGCTCTGTAACATCTAGTTTATAGTTTCTCCGTGTCACAAAGTACTCTTTGTTCTCTGACATCTAGTTTATAGTTTCTCCGTGTCACAAAGTACTCTTTGTTCTCTGACATCTAGTTTATAGTTTCCCGTGTCACAAAGTACTCTTTGTTCTCTGACATCTAGTTTATAGTTTCTCCGTGTCAC